ACACCCACACCCACACCCACACCCACACCCACACCCACACCCGTTTGAATAACAAAAGATAAGAGAAAGAACGAATAAAGAAAACATTCTTTGTTGGATAATAGCTATCCAGCTCAACAACAATCTCACACATTTTCAACATGGCCGTTTCAAAAAAACGACGTTTGGCTGAGAATGAAATTAACGAAATTACGAATGATTCTCAGTCGGACTTATCATCAGAAGATGAACTCGTATCAAATTTTAGTTCTGTATCTATTGACTCTAGCGATGAAGAAGATGCAGCTGAACGTAAATGGCAATGCGGAACATTTATACCAATGATATTCGAGTTCAACGGTAAACCAGGCGTAAAAGATACGACTCTATTGCTTGGAAAAACACCATTTGATTATTTTCAACTTTTTTTTTATGACAATATGATGCAGCGTATAGTCAACGAAACAAATCGCTACTATTCTCAGAATCCAGTGGATGAACGACAGCACATGTCTGACTGGCAAGATGTAACCTCAGTAGAAATATATACATTTCTTGCGATTACAATGCTTACTGGGATTATCAGCAAAAATACGATTCATGACTATTGGAACACTGATCCTTTATTGTCTACACCTATTTTTGGTCAGTATTTTACAAGGAATCGATACCTAGACATTCTACACTACTTGCACTTTGTCAATAATGATGAGATTTCTGGCAACAACCGTCTCGAGAAGATAAAACCAATCATAGATCAATTCAAAGAGAATTTTTCAAATTGTATCAATCCAACACAAAATCTCTGCATTGATGAAAGTCTCATGCTATGGAAAGGAAGAGTTGGATTCAAACAATATATTCCATCTAAACATCATCGATTTGGAATCAAACTATTTGAGCTCGTCGATTGTGAAACTAAATTTATCCTCGACTTCATCATTTACACAGGAGCAAATACAGAGTATCAAATTACATCTGGACTTGGATTGAGTGGATCAATTGTAATGAAACTAATGCAACATTATTTGAATCAAGGGCACCATTTATACGTCGACAATTGGTACACAAGCCCAGCACTTTTTGAGCTCTTACATCGAAATAAAACTGGTGCATGTGGCACTGTTCGTAAAAATAGACAAGGATTACCATCTCTAGCAACTAAAGTGAAAAGAGGCGAAAGTCAATATTCTCATACAAATGTTTTACTTGCACTAAAATGGAAGGACAAAAGAGAAGTTCATATGCTTTCTACAATTCATTCACCATCATATACGAATACAAACAAAATAGACAGGCAAACTGGCGAAGTGATTCGCAAACCTGTCTGTATTCTTGAATATACTAAAAACATGGGTGCCGTTGATCATGTCGATATGCAAATTTCATTTTCCGAATGTATAAGAAAATCAATAAAATGGTACAAGAAACTCTTTTTCCATTTGTTAGATATGGCAATATATAATGCATTTGTAATTTATAAAATGCAGAATAATATTTCGCTCCACTTATCTGATTTTCGGCTCGACATCATCAGAGAACTTTTGACAAAGTTCGGATCACAAAGGCCGACTACCATTGGAAGACCATCAATAAGATCATCTCCTCTCCGTTTGACTGCTCGACATTTTCCATCGTTGATCCCACAAACATCACAACAAGCAGAAAAACCTCGACGAAGATGCGCAGTTTGCTCTTCTCATGATATTCGACGCGATACACAATATATGTGTCCTGACTGTAATGTACCTCAATGTATTGTTGATTGCTTCAAAAACTATCATACAAAGATGGACTATTAGCGTTTTTTTTAAAACAGGAATGTAGTTTCTTTGTGAAAAAATAAAAATCACATTCAAACGTTACTTTTACAAACTTTGATTTTCGCAAAAAAAAGCCGGGAGCCAAAGGGTTAATCTTGCATTTTATTTTTATCTATATTCTTATGACTTAAAACCTTTTTATCTTAATGTTTTTAATACAAAAATAGTACTCGGACTTCTCGTCAAAAATCGAACTTTGATATAATACATAAGTTTTTGATGAAACTTTCTACAGATATTCGACTTATGGAAGTACATCAATAAAAAATTTTTCGATCTCCGATCATACCGTTCAGAATATTTTCAGAGAACAAAACGCCAAAAAAGGATTTTTTAGACGCGTAAATTTTTTCCCGTATATTTCAAGCTAGAAAACTCAAGCTACTGACATTTGAAACAGAATTCTTTACCGCTTCGAATGTGAAGAAAGTTTTTATAATACATAATTTTGTTTACTTTCGTGATTGCCAGAAAACCTCTGATTTCTCTAACATTAATGACTGTTTAAAAATCCTTGTTATTATTCGAAAGAGTACGTACCTCCGATCAAATAAAAAACATGGAGTTCATTAAATGGAAATATATTGAAAAGAAGTTGCTAAGTTTCACGATTTTGGTAAAAATCAGCTTTGAGAAAAGCCCGTGAATCGTTTTTCTATATTTAATTGAATTTTCTTTCAATACAAACACCAAACACAACTATATTACACACCAGTTGAAAATTCATCCCTAGTTGCATCCAATGGCCTGCTAGCAATACGCCAAATAGTAACAGAGGATGATAATGGCAATTACCTCCATGGTTTTACTCTAACTTTAGATACTGATCTTTGCACTAGGAGATTTCAAAAATCATGATAAACCTTTCAGAAATCCTACGAAACGAGAAGATTGTTTCATAAAATCTAAAACTAGACACGTCAGTGAACATGTTTATATGTTTATGTCTCAAATTATTGTATTTGCAAGGACTGACTTTTCCGACAGTGTTTCGTAATTTAATCGGTATTAAATCGAGTAAACACAATTTATTGATCAAAAAGTGCTGACGATGATTTGAAGACTAAATAATACAAACAAAAAAAAGTTGCAAGAAACAAAACGAATATTGAGATTACATTGAAAAACAAATTACGTACAACTAAATGACGGTAAACATCGACAGAAGATGATTATTATAAGTAAATCAAATATAAATTATTTTTAATGAGATCAAAATAAAGATCAGCAAGAATTATTTGACAGAAAAAAACAAAAAAAAATAGCGAAAGAAGATCAACACCAACGCTCAATGGCAAAAATCGAATAAACCAAAAGCGAATCAATCAAGTATTTATTTTGATTCATCATGTCGCTGTTTGACTTCATGTATTTCACGTACTTCTTCATGTAGTTGTTGTACTTCAATTCGTGGTTCTTGAACTTCATCATGTAATCTTTTTGGCTCATCATACATTTCTTTATTTTGATCAACAACTTTTAATAAATGATTTTGTATTTGTTGTAATGAACACTGTTGTTGCCCCTGCAATTAACGTCTGAATTGTAGTTAACGCTACAGTTACATTTGATTCTACAGTTGTAGTTGATGTTTCCTGAAAAGACCTTTCAATTATAAATATCAAAACAAAAACGAAATTTGCTGCTTTTTTATTTTGAATATAACCAAAAACAGACAAAATATATTATTTATTAAAACAACCAATGTATTGAAAAGAACAAAAAAATAGTAATGATTGGTATATATGGTTATGGCAGATGAAAATAGTGTATATCGAAACACGACAATAGTTGACGTCTCTGGGCACTGTTTTACGGAAACTACAAATTAAGGAAAATAAAGTGAAACAGAATTGAGATCGCACTACAGTCGTAATGGCGGACCAATAGGATTCGGTGTCCGTAAAGTATGGATGATCCATGTTTTACTACAAGTAAATCCCATTGGTTGTCCTCACAATTTTATTATGGGCTCCATCATGTGTCACACTTTTCTCCTTATTTCTTTGTTTCCCTTAAACGATGTCCACAAACATCGAAATAATACTACTCCACTTTCAATTACCATCTATATCTGATTACGTTTTTATTATTTTGTTCAATTCGTTCGTCACTTTTTAATCACTAATTTTTCTTCTGTTCTCTCTTTTCCAAAGTGAACTAGCGACTCTTTTTTCTATATGAGGAAAATTCTAACATCGATATACATTATACAACCAGGATGTGAAACACTTTTGATGTTGTGGAACATCTATTTGAATGCTGTCGTTTGATTATGATGGAATATCTGCTCCACCAATATAATAATTACATCAACTAGTATTATGTATTTGAAAAATAATAATGATTCATTATAAAAGGAAAATAATAGAAATGTAAATGTTCGACTTACTTCTGTTTCATGTGTTTTTCTGTGGAATTAGTGAAATTTCTTATTATATACATTTTTTTTCATACAATCGATAGACCAAACGCAGCACTTATATAGAGTAAACACTGCCGTCCCGTCCGCTGAGAAAGAATAATTACATCTTCTTGACGGTCAATTGGCTACAATAGGAGAAAATTTTCTATTCAAACACTTTTCTTTCATTCTCTAATTAATAATTTGTCTAGTTGGAGAAATGAGATAATATACACTCATATTTCAGTATGGGTATGGATGGGGCGTTAGGGTGTGGGGGTTGGAGAGGGTAGTCCGGAAGAATACAAGACTTCTACCTACACCCCACACTCATCCACACAACCGCAGCCACACCCTAACATGAACTCTTGAGTGTAGTTCATTTCGTTTATATGAAATAAAAACAGTTCGGGAACTTTTTGAACATGGATGTTTCATTCACATGTGGGAAAAAACTTGAAAATAGCTTTATGTTATCCAAACTAGTTTTTACTAACGAATCATTAATATCTCTACCCATGAAATCTACTGATAATATATCTAATCATTGATTCAGGTATTCAATAAAGGAGCTACTACGAATGACTTTCTTTCTTTCCTAAATGTTTATTTCTTAAGTCTTCTGCAAGTTTTGCATGCTTGATACATGTTTGATACTTTTTAATATCTTCTTTGCTCGTCACTATTTAATTCATTAAGCTGCTACTTAAAGCCAAAGCACTTTTTCATACTCTTCTGAGAGATGTTTACTTATAAATCGAATGCAATTACTAGAAATTTTTTCAAGGGTGGACGTGAGTGTTAGTGTGGGTGCGTGGAGTGGGTATGGGTGGGAGTCATCTCTTTACCCACATCCACATCCCGCACTCACACCCATGCCCACACCCACACCCACATGCTAAGACACCGACATCCACACCCATATCCACGCCCACACCTGCTTCTTAATGCTACTGGTGAAAAAATCCAGTATTTGGATTTTTTTTTGAATCTTATCAAACATGAAAAAAGTGTTTTCATTTCTGAATTAAACCATTCGATACAGAATTCAAATCTACATAAAGTCGATCGCATCGGAAAGAGAGAGAGTACGCTCAATAGTGAGATCTTGTTCCCAGGTTTTGAACGCTCCCAGTGAAAAAAAATTTAGTTTATAGAAAATTTTTTCCAGTTTTGTGAAAGACGAAAAATGAATGTTCGTATCTTATTACACCGTTCGTTGCAGAATTCAATTCTGAATTAGGTTGACCACATCTGAGAGAGAAAAGATGCTTAGCAAGGAGCAACCGTTCCTCTGCATTTAAAGTTCGCCGTCACAAAATCTAGTTTTCGAGTGTTTCTTCGAAGTGTGCGAACGAATGAAGAAGTGTTTGGATTTCTAAATCACGCCACGAGATGCAGAATGGAATGCTGCATAACGTCGACGACTTGCGCAAGACAGGCTACGATCGACTTACTGAAAGTATTCGCTCAATTTTTATGTATAAACATATAATCTAGTGTATTTTATTGAGATGTTTTCTTTTCAATCGATGTCAATAGTTTTTAAGATAATTTTTTTATATTTCTATAATTGTTATTCATGGCATGAAATCGATGCGCATCGATTGTTGCTTTGTTTTCAGATATTCTTACGGTATTCTTAAATCATGTCATATAGAGCGTTTATATAATGAAAATGATTCAAACAACGCGACTAAGTACTTGTTCATAACCGCTAATTTTTTATAATTTAATCTTCTTTCAGTTCTGTCTAACCTAATTAATCTGTTGGTCATTTAGGCGAACACAGTCACCGAACGGAAGAATCGAAATTAGTGTTTAGCAGTGATGAATGCTTATTTGAAAAATTTTCCCTTTTCACTTTTGATTTTCGAAAAAACAGAAGAATTACTCTATTTTCTTATCATTTTTCAAACATAAACAATTTAATGTAGAACTAATCCAATAATAGTCAGAAACACAGAGCGTCTTATTGATCAATTTCGCGAGCCAAAGTTTTATTCATTCGACTTGAGAAGATAAAATCAAACTATTTCCAACGAGTCTTCATCATTCCACTGCTCTCTATCCGCATAAAAAAATCAAGAAATCATTCAATTCTTTCATAAAATTTTATCCAAATGTTATTGCAAGCCTCTCCTTCACGACATAATGTGACATACGAATGACTATTCGACGAACTTTTCAGAAACACTTCTACCAAATATCAACTACATATAACCATTTAAAACCAAGCTATTTCGTAAATACCGAATCTTCTTCACAGCACTATCAAATATTATGCGATTAATCCCAATACCTCAACGAATGTCAATTCCAAACAACAATCCACGTTCATCTCCATCACTCAAACCATCAATATTTGGCACAAAACTTTTCTAACAAAATAGGCACCCAAACCTCAAAACTATACAAAATCAACTCATCTAATACTTGGATAGCTTTTCATCACTGAAACTTTCGCCTGTTCATTAATGCTAAAAACTCAAGAAAAGTCGAACACAAAAAAAACCCTCACACATATATTCGAATTCATCTGAACAACATTAAATTCAAAAATATTGAATAGTGGTACAAAATTGAATTATTTTTCATTTTAATGATCATCAGATGATGTTCGAATTCATCAGAAGAACATTAAATTCAAAAATATTGAATAATGGTACAATATTGAATTCTTTTTTATTTTAATGATCATCAGATGATATTCGAATTCATCTCATCATCATTAAATCCAAAAATATTGAATAATTGTAGAATATTGAATTATTTTTGATTTTAATGATAATGAGATGATATTCGGATTTATCTGAAGAACATTAAATTCAAAAATATAGAATAATTGTAGAATATTGAGTTATTTTTGATTTTAATGATCATCAGATGATATTCGAATTCACCTTACGAACATTAAATTCAAAAATATTGAATAATTGTAGAATATTGAATTATTTTTCATTTTAATAATGATGCGATGATATTCAAATTCATCTCACCATCATTAAATTCAAAAATATTGAATAATTGTAGAATATTCAATTATTTTTTATTTTAATGATCATGAGATGATATTCGAATTCATCTCATAAACATTAAATTCAAAAATATTGAATAATTGTAGAATATTGAATTATTTTTGATTTTAATGATCATGAGCTAATATTCGAATTCATCTTACCATCATTAAATTCAAAAATATTGAATAATTGTAGAATATTGAATTATTTTTGATTTTAATGATCATCACATGATATTCGAATTCATCTGAAGAACACTAAATTCAAAAATATTGAATAATTGTAGAATATTGAATTATTTTTTATCTTAATCATCATGAGTTGATATTCGAATTCATCTCATCATCATTAAATTCAAAAATATAGAATAATTGTAGAATATTGAATTATTTTTGATTTTGATCATCATGAGATGATATTCGAATTCATCTCATGATCATCAAATTCAAAAATATTGAATAATTGTAGGATATTGAATTATTTTTTATCTTAATGATCATCACATGATGTTCGAATTCATCTGAAGAACGTTAAATTCAAAAACATTGAATAATGGTACAATATTGAATTCTTTTTGATTTTAATGATCATCAGATGATATTCGAATTCATCTCATCATCATTAAATTCAAAAAGGTTGAATAGTTGTAAAATATTGAATTATTTTTGATTTTAATGATCGTGAGATGATATTCGAATTCATCTGAACAACATTAAATTCAAAAATATTGAATAATTGTAGAATATTGAATTATT